CACCAGAGTATTCAGAAATAATTGAAAGAAAAAACATTTCTGGAAACTGATGGTCAGGTAAGGAATTAAAACCGGACTTAAGCTTGGTCAGATAGGAGTGGTGTCTTGGAGGGGGGAGGACATAACAGATGAGTAAAATCTCAGTTGGGAAAGTAAGCAGAGATGAACTTGCCTTAGAATAGGTCTGAGGAAGCAAGTGCAGTAAGTGGAAGAAAACTGGTTTGGGAAACCCTACAATGCTAGACTAGATTTTATTCTAGGTCAGTGGTTCTTAAACTCGAACATACATCAGAATCATATGGAAAGCTTATGAAAAGAGATTGCTGCCCACCCCACTCCACCCCCTCCAGAATTTGAGAAGGTCTGGGATGGGGCCTGAGAATTTTCCTTTCTCATTAGTTCTCAGTGGATGGTCTGGGACCACACTTTGAGAACCACTGTTATAGGATGTGGGGAACTGTTGGAGGAATTGAGGTGGATGGTAAGATTGATCACATTTGTGGTTCAATATGAATTTTACTGTGAAGTCCAAGAATGGAGACTGAGAGAGAAAGAATAAGGTTCTTTACAGTTAATTAGCACCTGCTTGATGCCAGGCCCTCCACCAGGCTTTCTTATGCATACTATTTCATTTTATACTCACTGTGACCTTGATGTGTTGGTCTTAATATTTTCACATGGAGAGTAGTAGAGATTGCCCAGGTCTCATCGCTAGGCTAATCTCAGAGCTCCCTAAAACTAGTCAGATTTGGACTAGCGTAGTAGCAGTAGAAACGAAAACATTTAATGGTGATGGAATTTAGGAAAATAAGGACTTCCCACAAAGATTGAAACCTAAAAGTAAAAACTGAGAAATCTGAGCCTTAATTGGAAACGTGATAAAAGGTAAAAGTGGACAGGGAACTTGAGAGTGTTCCCTACATGAATTCAGTGTGTGTTCTGTATTACTCTTATATAACAATGACCTATTTTAAAGTTGCTTGTTTAAAAAGTCATCCTGCTCTCCCAAACTTTCCTGGAAATTATTTGAAAAGGAGAAAGTAAAGCCTTCTATGGGGGTGGTGGGAGATTCCAAATAGATTAATGGCATCTGACAGCTTATCTTCAAATCAAAAGTGATTAGCATTAAGAAATGGAAACACATAGTATAACACTGCATTGACTGTAGGAGCTGTGTTGCACCGTGGACACTGACCTAATGGATTGATTTTGGAGATCCTGTATGCTTTTTCTTGCCAGTGTAGTTATTGAAATTGAAAATATTCTTTGGACCCATTTCAAGACAAATATCCCAAGTCAGACTAGCTGCTGCTGAGCAAATTTTTAATGAAGGAAAACATCTATATATTGAAATCAGACTTTAAAAAGAAAGTCTTTAGAATAAATATATATTTACTTTAAAATCTAGAAAAATGGATGTTTTCAAACATTGATTAACTAAAATAATCTGCATAATGGAGTTATTGACCCATACAAAATTACAGCATACATTCATTCATTTATTCAGTGAGCAATAAAGTTTGATGCGGATACAAAGATAACTCATGCAAGATGTCCAGGCAAGACTCACATTTTTTAAAAAATCACAAAACAGTGTGATCATTACTATAATAGATGTGACCAGTACGCAGTGACAGGAGGTAGGAGTAACAACTGAAGGGGCATGGAATGGAGTTCAGGGAACCGTTATAGAGGAGCAGACGTGAGTTGATTCTTGAAAGCTGAGGAGGAATTTGTGAGACGATTAAAGGAGAGAAGGGCATTCCAATCAGAAGGAACATTACGGGACAATGGCCAAGATGTATAAAATAGTTTGGCTTGCTTTTTCCAGGGCCTGTGTGCAGATCAGAATAGTTACAACAGTACGGTAAAAGTGGAGGAGGGGAATGAGCAAGTTGGAGGGGTGGATAAGAGTATTAAAAAGAGGATGCAATATTTATGTAATGACTGTCTTGGTTGGATTGTAAACTTCATGATGTTAGGAGCCATATTGGACAAAGGTATTCCAAGGCCTAGCACTGTGCCTAGCATATAGTTTGTTCTCAGTAAATAGTTGCTGAGTGAGTGAATGGCAGAATCACAGAAGAACATTATTACAGGTAAGGCAGAAGGAACTTTTCAAATACTTTAAGCAGAGGAGTAATAGTCAGTTACATTTTATGACGATAAGTGCTAGTATGGAAGATGAATCAATAATGGGCATAGAGATGGCTGTAATAGGTTGAGGTTTGTCATTAAGGCTGTGCCCATTGGTAGGTTGCAATCTACACTGAAAAAATAGAGTAGAAAAAAGACAGGGTTAGAGTATGTCATATGTAATAGGGGTAGGTGAAGTTTTGTGAAACTTGTTTTGTTTATATGCCTGTGTGTTAGCTGATATGAGTGTATTTCTTGCTGTGGACTGCGGTCAAAGCTTAAAAGCCATTATAATAGAGAAATGTGGGAATGAGGTTGGAGAGAAGGGAATGGATATAAAAGATATTTGAGGACGGGGAACAAATGTGAATCTTAAAATGCTGCTGTCTGAACCTTCTTGCAAGGGAGGGGATGCATTTACCAACCCATTTCAGTATTTTTCCCCACTTGATGTTTTCCATTGTATTAAGACATTGACATTTTGGTTTATTAGGAGTGGCAGGGCTTTAAGGTATCTTAGTGATTTCTCTTGTATTTTGGTAGTGCTCAACTTAAAATCACAGGATGAAGCTATACTCCCAGGAATAATGGGAATTCATTGAAAAGTTTGATTTGATAACAGGCAAAGTTCTTTGTATTCTTCCCATAAGAAGGCAGGAAAAGATGCTTAGTTACATAAGCAGGTGGGAAGTCCTTCTCCCTACCTTTATGATTTGCTATTCCAGTGGACTTAGTCTGTTGTGCTTGTGACATATACACAAGGAAAGAAAATTGCTCGTATAGGCTGAGTTATATTGGCTTTTAAAAAATGTGTAGACTGGTTGATTGGTTAAATTAATTGGTTTAAATATGTTGTGCTCTTAGTTATCAGGTGTGAATTATTCTCTGTGGAGCAAAAAAACATTAAACATTTTTTAGAAATTTGGTCTCTTCTGTCACCTACTGATACTGTTTGCACAGAAACAAAGTAAATTTTCATTTGGCCCAAGCAAAAACAAAAAAAGAAAGAAGGAAAGAAAAGAAAAGGAAGGAAATAAAAAGATAAAGAAAATGAAGATAAACAGCCTGCTGTCATTTCATATTTAAATGTAAAGAGTTATTTGGTGTTCCTTTGATATGACAGGACACCACTCCTCTTTTTATACAATAATCTGGAGTTGAAACCCATAGTTTTTCCCAAGTTCTGCCACTAGTAAGGGGCCTTGGTAAATCAATGTGACCTTCCTGCGCCTCCCCTGTAAAACAGAATCTCATCTGTGTTGTGAGGCTTAGCTGAGAAAATACATGCACAATATCTCACACATAATAGATGTTCAGTAAAAGGTAGCAGCTGCTGCTCTGCCATTCAAATGGTTCACAGGGTTTGGGGGGCATCAAAGAAATCATCCCCCAGGGAGAGATTTGAAGGTGTAAAAACCTAGGATTATGTACATCTGGATAGCTTTTGGGTTTTAGCAAAAGAATGGAGTAAGCCCTGGCTGGTTTTGCTCAGTGGTTAGAGTGTTGGCCCTCAGATTGAAGGGTTGAGGGTTCTCTTCCAGTCAAGGGCATGTACCTGGGTTGCAGGTTTGATCTACCTTGTTTGTGCAACTTTGCTTATAGTCTTAAATTAAACTTAGCTTCTGAACAAGTTATGCATGTTCTTTTGATACTTTATTTTGAAGTTTGAAGTCAAGAACGTTTCGTTTTCCTGTGTAGAAATATCAAATAATATGGTTATAGCAGCAACCTTGAGTTCCTAATTAATGGGGCTGGTTTGTTTTACACACTTGGATAAAAGCTGTGTAATTTCATTCTGAGATGACTACCTTAGTTTTGCTCCTCAGTTTCCTCATCAGTAAAGTGAGGACAACAAAATGCATTCATCTTGAAGAGTTCCTAAGTATTAAGTGAATTATTATATACAAACAGCTAAAGGGAGGGCTTGGCTCACCACAGTGCCCTTTTTCTGGTCGTGTGGGAGGCAACCAATTATTGTGTCTCTCTTACAATGATGTTTGATTTTTCTCTCTCTCCCTCCCTCCCTTCTACTCTAAAAAAAAAATCAGTGGAAAAGTATCCTTGGATGAGAATTTTTAAAAAAAGAATGGAATAAAATGGTATCATCCTCAAAGAAGATTTGCATGGCCCCTGCGCATGACATGCAAATTCATGAAGTGTTCCATATTTTTAGGACTGTACTATTAAACTTTTAAAAAAATATGGTATCATCCTTTTCCTGTCTTTTTCTTTTTACTTAATGACATGAGAATTTCAGAATCCCAAACTGATAAACCCTGCAGTGTAAACCATAAACTTGTCAGATGGTTGACATGGATTTTTCTGAGAAAGATTTTTCTGCAATTAAATTGTAAGAAATCACTATTTTAAATGTTAGCGGTCTGTTTACCATTTATTAGATGATTTTTATTACTCTCATTTGTTTAGGTAATATTTGCCTGCATTATTATAAGTGGGCATATTTTCATCTAGCAAAGCTCTTGTTACTGGGTTTTGATTCCTTACAAACTTATCTGTCTGTTTTAGAAAAAGAGTTAGGTGTTAAAGGTGCCTTGATTCAAAACAGGGATCTTAGATGGTAGAATGTTTTTAGTCATGATTCTCAGACAGGTTAAGATTATTACTCAAACTTTTCTTTATAGTAGGTCAGCATAAAGTAGGTAGAGTACCCATTCATGAGCTTCTAACAAAAATTTTAACAGGTTACTATGTGCCAAGCATTGTGCTGCTAGCTTCTGAGGAAATCAAGAATAAGATATTGTCCTTTTTCTGCGAGGATTGTCAACTGGAATAAGGGATGAGACTTGTTGGGAGAAGTCTATAAATAGATAAATTAGAACATAAGGGGACAAATACTCTTCCCGACAGGTGAATAAAGGCTTTGGAGCATTGAGGAGCGAACATTTGACTGCGTGGGTAAGGTGTGGGAAGCTGTGTCTTAGAAGAGGTGGTGTTTGAACTAAGTAGGAGTTTGTCAGGCAAAAAAGTGGAAGATACGCATTTCGGACAGCCAGTTTTTATTGTAGTATGTAGATGCTTTTTAAAAAATCTACCATGCTTTGAAATGGTTACTAGCCATTAAGATGATGATTCTGATAGAATCTCTGTGCGTAGAAGCATAGCTAAAACATGGTTATCACTTTTTTCACCTTGCACATAGTTCTTTTTATTAGGTTTTTGAACATATAGGCTAACTTTATATCTAATTTAGAAAATGTCATATAAATATACATTGATTGTAATACTGATGGTCACAATAACTGGTTGAATTAGGGACTCATCAAGTTTGATTCTCATATAATGAAGAAATCTAAATGCAGAATGAAGTAAGTCATAGGTGATGGCAAAGATAAAAATTAAATCACAAATAGTAATTAGATGTTTCTCATTAAAGTGACAAATTTAGCCCTGGCCGGTTTAACTCAGCAGTTAGAGTGTTGGCCTGCGGTCCAGAGAGGCTGGGGTTCGGTTCCCACTAGGGGCACGTGCCTCGGTTGCAGTTTGTCCCCGGACCTGGTTGAGTCGTGCGGGTGGCAGCCACTCAATGTGTCCCTTTCATGTTGCTGTTTCTCTCTCTCTCTCACCCTCCCACTCTATCTGAATAACAACAACAAAAAAATACAAATTAAAAAATTTTTCTTAAAGAGATTTTTTTTTTAACATAGCAACTATATTTTGTTTGCTTTAAATGTCTTTTTGAGGGTTTGGGTCAAGGGTAGTCAATGGATGTTTTAAAATTGTTTTTAGAAACATTTTTACACATTTTTTATACATTGTCCTTTTAGAATAAGACTAATTTTGTACAAATAGAAGTCATTACTTTCCACACAAAACAGAAAAATGATGAGCAGTTTTTGTTCTATAAACAAACTTAAAACCTTTTTTTCCCTAATAGAATCTTATTTAGCTAAAATTGATTTTGTGTTGATTGGTCTTGAAATATAATTCAGAGGAACGTTGGAACAATAAAGTAATTTATTTCATTGTGCCACGGGGTACTTGAAAACCAAAATTCTCAAATAATCATGAACACAAACTTGGTAGGCTGTATGTATTGTTTATGAATTTTTGTTTGCCACTGGAAACTAGGTCTATGACTAAATTTTACTAAAGTTTTATAAATTGGTATAATAATAATAAAAGCTAACATTTATTGAGTTCTTACTTTGTGCCACGCACTGTTCCAAGCTTTTTACATGAACTCATTTCATTATCATAGTCATCCTATTCTCTTATCCATTCTCTTAAGAGGAAGTTGAGGCACAGAGTGGTTGAGTATGATGCCCAAGGTCATGACAGCTTAATTGGCAGAGACTCAGAATCATGGAGGCTTAGAACCTCCATACTTTCCTGACTCTCAGCATACTTAGCTTTCATTGTCTAATATAGTTTGAAGTGGAGAAGGTCAGTAAATCTAAGTAAATGATCCTCAACTAATTCCATAGAGGTCTAAACTTGAATGTGCTTACCTGCAGAGATTCGGATTCGTAGGGCTGACAACATGCATTCTTTTTTTTTTTATCCTCACCGGAGGACATTTTCCATTCTTTGTTCAGATACAGTGGGAGGGAGAGAGAGGAAGAGAGAGAGAGAGAAACATCGATGTGAAAGGGACACATCAAGTGGTTGCCACCCGCACAACCCAACCAGGACCAGGGACAAACTGCAACCAAGGTACATGCCCTTAGCGGGAACCGAACCCCGGTCTCCCCGGACCTCAGGCCGACGCTCTAACCGCTGAGCCAAACTGGCTAGGGCCAACATGCATTTTTAATAAGCATCCAGGCGGTTCTGACCCTAGGTGAGATACACTCGTCTGGTTGAAATACAGTCCCACAGCTCACTTCACATGAAGGCTGTCGTCGTTTGTTAGGCATCCCTTTCGTGCATCTGTGTTCCAGGGTGAGTCTGTTGAATACATACTGTATCTGAACTTGTTCCTCAATAGCCTGCATGACTAATCACATATCTGGTGTAGAGAAGGAATACAAGGCCAGCATCAGAGGGATTTAAAAAAATGTTTTTTGAATGAGCGTCAGATAGGGTATGTTTGATCGGAGAAAACAGTTATGATGCATATAAGGTCTATAGACAGGAGAAAATAAGCATGACATAAAATTTCTACCCTAATGGGTTTTGTGTGTGTGTGTGTGAATTTGTTTTCTGTTTAGGAGGAAATATGTATGTATATTGCCCTTCACTGTAGAGCAATAGTTTCATAATTTGGATTATTCTGAGTATTACCTGTAGGCAAAGAAGGGTCTTTCTTCTCTCTTAAGTTTGGTAAGAAACTTTCGCCCATTTATACTACCAAGAACCCTGATTATGTGTGTTTTAGAATATAGCAAAAACACTAAAGCTTGTAGTTTTACTACTTCAGTATTTTAGTTGTCTATTGAACTGGCAAAACTTTTTTTCTTTTTTTTAGGGAGTTAAAAATCACATTGAGCCCGAACCTGTGCTTTCTTCAGCTACAAACAAAATGAATATCCCCGTGCTGCTGCAGCATCCTCCCCGGAGGTTCCTAAAAGGCCTTTTGAGAACACCCTTCCGATGTTACCACTTCATCTTTCACTCAAGTATGGGTCTCGGATCAGGAAGCCCGGGTACTCGGCCAGTTGATTCTCTTGGACTCCGTTGTTCAAAGTTGATGGTGCTGTCAGATGGTTTAAAGAGACAGTTATGTGTACAAACAACTTTAAAGGAACAGACAGAAGGACTTTCTGATAAAGAACAAAGATTTGTGGATAAACTTTATACTGGTTTAATCCAAGGGCACAGGGCCCGCTTAGCAGAGGCCATAACTCTTGTAGAATCAACTCACCACAGGAAAAAAGAGTTAGCCCAGGTGCTTCTTCAGAAAGTGTTGGTCTACCACAGAGAACAAGAAAAATTAAATGAAGGAAAACCGAGGGCATTTCGAGTGGGTCAGTCTTTTTCTTTTTTCCTTAGTCTGTCCAGGAAATATTTTTCTTAATTCTCTGTCTTTAAAAAAAAAAAGTCTAAATAATTTGCATTCTAATGGGGGTTTTTGTTCTTTTCAGAATTTTGTTAGGCATTTTAATGCTTTTTCACTGTAAATATTAGTCTTGGTATGTTGGAAAAGGTATCTGACCATTTGAACCAAGGCTTTGTATTTTAAAAGAATAACATAAGAGACCTGGCTGGTTTGGCTCAGCAGTTAGAGTGTCAGCCTGTGGTCCAGAGAGACCTGGGTTCGGTTCCCGCTAAGGGCATGTACCTTGGTTGCAGTTTGTCCCCGGCCCTGGATGGGTCGTGCGGGTGGCAGCCACTCGATGTGTCCCTTTCACGTCAATGTTTCTCTCTCTCTCTCTTCCTCCCACTCTATCTGAACAAAAGGTGGAGAAATGTCCTCGGGTGAGGATAAAAAAAAAAAGAAAGAAAGAATAATATAAGGCCCTGGCTGGGTGGCTCGGTTGGAGCATCATCCTGTACACTGAAAGGTCTCGGGTTCAATTCCTGGTCAGGACACATATCCAGGTTGTGGGTTCAACCCATCGAAATTTCTCTCTCACATTGGTGTTCCTCTTTCTCTCTCTCCACTTCTTGGGTGTTTCGTTAGTCTTTCTATGGGTAAGTCTCACTTCTCTCAGATACTTTCGTTAGAGTTTCTGGTAGTGGTTTAGCTCTGAGCACAGCCATCTCATTACCAAAATGTGTTTTAAAGGGGAGGCCATATTCATTTACTATATAACAGTATTGGATGTTCACTTGCTTTCTCAGTTGACTTGTTTCTGTGATTGCACGTAAGCTGTTGTATTTTTGAAATTGTGCATTTTAAAACAATTTAGATATGTTTGACCGTCAGGAATTAAGCAAGTCAGTTTGGGGTGGCATGGGAGCTATCATGATGGCACACCAAGTAATTCCAACCAGCTGCTCACTAAACACAACTTGAGGTAGTGGGCACAGTGCAGAAATTTTGTGAGGAATGAGCATATACCCTTAAAAATTGACTGGCATTACATTAGACTTTTATATCTCAGTTTATTGGTGATACGGGAACTAAAACCTTTTAGTTTTTGGGGTAATGGGGCATAAATGCTTTAAAGGTAGTTTAAAAACCGTTACTTTTCATACATCTTCTGCCCTCACTGAGGGAGCTCTCATTCTGAGAGTACTACACAGGGTGTTAGTAAACAAACTAGTAAACTCCCAAAAAGAAATTGTAATGGAGACATAGTATTTACCTATTAGACTTTAGCGAGTTTTTGGAGAAAATGTAACCCACCATGACCAGCAGCTCACCATTTCGCAGTGCTCTTCTGGTTCTTCCATCTTGTTCTCACGAGGCCTGGTAAACCCATGCCTTGGTTGCAGTCACTTTATAAAAGCAACAGATGTTTATTGAGAACACACGAAGAGGTTTAAGACAGAGACCTGCCCTGAACCAAGCACACTATATATGCCATACATACTTTTGAATATAGCTACAATTAAATGCTTATGTTTTATATACTTTATTGACCATACACTTACATATCTTTTACTTTGTGTCGTGTGCTGTTCTAAACATATTGCCAATATTAACTCATCTAATTTTTATAACAACCTGAAGAGATAGGTGTTATTATATCCATTTTATTGCAGCATATACGCAGTACAGAAAGGTTAAGAAACTTACCCAAGATTACACAGCTCATCCAAGGCAGAACTAGAAATAGAACTGGCCGAGTGGCTCCCGAGTTTCTGCTCTTACCTGCCACGCTCTAACTCTCCAAGTAGAGGACCTCCCTCCCTCCCTCCCTCCCTCCCTCCCTCCCTCCCTCCCTCCCTCCCTCCCTCCCTCCCTTCCTTCCTTCCTTCCTCCCTCCCTTCCTTCCTTCCTTCCTTCCTTCCTTCCTTCCAGTAAATATATTTCTTATTTAAGTGTAGTTGGTTTATAATCTTATAGTGGTTATATTAGTTTCAGGTATCCAATATAGTGATTCTACATTTTTATACCTTACAGTGTGATCACCCTACTAATTCTAGTAATCTGTTACTGTGCAAACTTACCACAATTTTGACTGTATTCTCCTTTACCCTTTTTACTCATACGCCCCTCCCCTAACCTCTGGTAACCATCCTTTTGGTCTCTGTTTCTATGAGTCTGCTTTTGTTGTGCTTTTGTTTAGATTCCACATATAAGTGAACAATATGATGTTTGTCTTTCTCTGCCTGACTTATTTCACTTAGCCTAATACCCTCTACTTTTCTTAAGATAAATGATTTTTTTCAGGATTTAGTTTATATTATATTCTTTGAGTTATGAGTGAGATGAAGAAATGTCTTTTATAAATAGAAAATTATTTTTTCAATCACTAGCAATTTCTAGAGTAATGAGTCGTTTTTCCAGTGGGAAGACGACATGTACAGAACTGCGGTGAGTGGAATAACTACCGACCAGGAAGAGGGGTGCGCAGGTGTTGTAGAGATTCTCCACGTTAACAGCTAGGCAGTGAAGTCCATCCCAAAGATATGCATCATGGTAAAAAAAAAGGGAAATCGCATTTAAAAAATTTCTAAAGTGAATTTGGTGAACATGTAGAACTCAGAATGGCTTTTGTTCTATGTCTCTATTACTCAGGAACTAGATAGATAAATGGATTATCATGTATTGCTTTCGGAAATGTTAAAATAAAGTAATGAGGGTTTTAATAAATTAGGAGAAACAGAAGGAAGTCTGATATTTTAATAGCACTCATCATTTATTTCATTAAATTCGAAGATCTCTTTCACTATAGGATTGTCTGGGCCCCCCGGTGCTGGAAAATCAACTTTTATAGAATATTTTGGGAAAATGCTTACTGAGAGAGGGCACAAGTTGTCTGTGCTGGCTGTGGACCCTTCTTCTTGTACCAGTGGTGGTGAGTATTGCTGATTCTTCTTACACTGCAGAGCAGGGGCTGGGGGCGGGGGCGGGGCAGGGCGGAGGCTGTCTGTTACAGTTTAGTGGGAGGACACAGCCAGGTGATTTCTAACCTCTAGCTGAGTTTGGTCTCACTGTAGGCAGTTTGGAGGGAGGTGGGGTGGTGGTTTGGGGCATTGGGCTCTACAGACACAGTCAACCCAGGAGTGGCCTGGGTACTTCGAGAACTAGGACACTCCCAGAAGTTGAAGATAATTAAAAGCAAATGTCAGGCCTGTGTCTGTCACATCTCAGGCTAGTCCCCTCTTCTCTCCTGTTTTTCCCGGCTGCATCAGCCCTTACACAATTCAGAAAATGGGTCCTTCCTCATTTGTTATATTATTTCCCTCTTATTGTAACATCTCTTAAGCTTAAAAAAACAACCATATGAACTTTATAATTTGTCACCTGTTTACATTACATTTCAGTTGAACAGAAAGCTCTTAGAGGGCCCGTGTAATACACGCTGTTCCCCCTAGCATAGTGCATTGCACACGGAGCGCAGCCATTATGTGCTGATTCCAGGTCACACAGCCACTCGGTTTAATTTGCCACTCATCAGAGATAAAATGAGTAAATGTAGTTCCCCAAAGGATCATTTAAGGAAAACATAAAGCATTCCATACAAATAGGAAAGGTTTTTCTTCTTTGTCCCTCTTTATGATTTAAGCTTCTCGCATTACAGTCATCCACTTAACAAGTGTTTCAGTGCCTGCTGTAGGTGAGGGGTGCGAGGAGGGTGCTGTCTTGTCCAGTGGTGAATGAGACACAGCCTGCATGGCCTACGGAGCTTTATATCACGGGAGGGAACACACACCGCTACAATGTCGTGTGTGTTTGAAGGGGAAGATACAGTGTGCTTTGTGGACGTGTTTGCTTTATACACTGTGGGTTTTAAGCTAAAAAAGAAAAATGATATAATCATATTTCTGGGGCATTAGGTTAAGAGAGAGGTGGGCAACAATTCCTGTTAACACCCACTGAGAAATTTGGCTGAGAACATGCACAATTTTCATTTCACTGTAGTAAAAGGTTAACTGTGAAATAAGATTTATATTCACAAGGTTCAATATTAAATTCATATCAACATAGTGCCTTATTTACAATCTAAGAACTTTGTTACCAGAACAAAGAATTTTTTTACAGTGGTCCTCGTTTCCATACAGGGGAGAAGCCCTCCCCCCACCTTGATAATATTCAAGAATACTTGCAATAGCAAAAGAAAATACTAGCTTGAGGTAATACTAACAGAAGTGGTGACATAAGGTAGTCTGATTCCAGTTGCAAAGCTGTGTGGTTCCTGACCTTTCTCAAACCAAATATAAGGGTCTCTTTCCCAGGTGAAGCATAATATAGACTTTGAAAGAAAAGAATACACAGGGATAAACAGGACACTATAAGTATAGATTTCTACCTCATCACTGCAACCATGTGTACATTTGGAAAACAGCATTGCATTAAGGTTTGAGCACATTACTTGCTTTGCATTCACAGACCCCCTGCAGTAGCTTTGAGACCTCCCTACAGGCCAGCACCCGACTGTTTTGGATTCACTGCAAAGACAATTACATGGGAGAGTAATTTCATAATGTGGAGTTCAATATGCTAGGATCTATAGGATAATAATTTCAAGTATAGCTTTGGCAGATTGTTGACTTACACAGAGAGGATTTCATGCAGAAAATTACTTTAGACAGAAGTTTCATGTGCAGTAAATAAGATAGTTGAGATATGTAGTGGGGCTGTGCTCCAGAATTAGAACCTATGAGAACTCTGCACTGGGATCATAAGGGAAAAGATCATGTCTTGAAGGATCTTCTCGATGTCTGGTACCAACTTTATGTGGAAAGTTAGCTCTTAGGCAGAGTGAAACTAAAATTCAGGTTAGAACAGCACTGCTAACGTCGCAAATGGTGGTATGTGGCTAAGGGAAAGACGTTCAGGGTGATTTCAGTAGTTCGGGGCTTTTGTCCTCTAGAATTTGCAGATGTTGATGTTTGGCAAAATACCGCAGTAAGCCCTGAAACATCACCATAGGTATTGCATTGATTGCCTGCTGTGAACCGGCATTCACCATTCAAACTATACAAGACATTGGCCTCTAGGGAAGGCATTTACATTACAGCAGGGCTTCTCCACCTTGGCCCGGATGACATTCCTGTTGTTGGCAGCTGTCCTGCACGTGGAAGGATGCTTAACAATGCCCTGGCCTCTACCGACCAGGTGCCACTAGCACCCTGTCCCCCAGCTGTGACAAGTAAAAACTTCTCTAGATATTGCCAAATGTCCTCTGGGGCAAAATCACCCCAGTTGAGAAGCATAAACACAATAATGTTAAGATGACAGTAAAGAAACCACACTGGCTGGAATGCAAGATTGGTTTGGGGACTAGTGGGAGCTGAAATTGGACAGGCCAGGTAGGACCGAAGAATCTAGATTTGAACCTCTAGTCACTGGGAAGCCCTTACAGGTTTTGAGAGGCTTGAAATGCTGAAAAGGTGAATTTGGCAGCATTGTGTACACTGTGTGGGAGAAAAGCTCCATAGTATAAAATACCATTTGAGATTTTGGGAGAAAGGTCATAAAACACTTCCCCTAGGGATTGGCTATTTGGTAATTGGCTCTTATAGGTGTTACATGATTATGAAATGTAACTCTGTGTTTTAGGATCACTCCTGGGGGATAAAACCCGAATGACCGAGTTATCCAGAGATATGAATGCATACATCAGGCCGTCTCCCACTAGGGGAACTTTAGGAGGTGTGACAAGGACCACAAATGAAGCCATTCTGTTGTGTGAAGGAGGGGGATATGACATCATTCTCATCGAAACTGTAGGTGAGTGTGATTTCCTACTTCCTAACAAAAGACTGTTCTAGTGAATTCTATATAAAGATGAAGGACAGCTCATTTTATTCGTTCTCAGCAGATATTTACTAAGGGCATAATTAAATGAAAGATATCTCAGACTGTCTAGGACAGTGGTTCTCAACCTGGAATGACCCTTTCACAGGGGTCGCCTATGGCCATTGGAAGACACATATTTCCGATGGCGATTCATAACAGTAGCAAAATTACAGTTATGAAGTAGCAACGAAAATAATTTTATGGTTGGGGGTCACCACACCATGAGGAACTGTATTAAAGGGTCGTGGCATTAGGAAGGTTGAGAACCACTGTCTAGGAGATGTGCACATATAGGCTATAGTCCTGCCCTTAAAGAACAAAAATAAGCCCTGTGTCTGGATAACTGTTTCCCAGGTGATATGTTATGAGCACCAGGAGACCTGTGAAACAGTGCTTTCCCATGACACCTATTTTGTGTCATTTCATATGTCTGCAAAGTTCACTAAGAAAATCATCGTAGTTGGGTATCTCTTGAACACAGGGCTGTGGTTATTTCATTTTTATATTCCTATTGCATATTTACATGTGATGAAAATACTGAAATGGAAACCTAAGAAAATCACATTGTTATGGAGAGACAATGATAAATGTTTGTGATACAACCTGACTCAGATTTGGGGTATCAAGAAAGACTTCTGGCAGGAGGTGACAGTTGAACTCAGTCTCGAAGGGAGAATTGGAATTACATAAAGTGTGGGCTGAAGGGCATTTGCAGAGACACAGAGTGAGGGAACATGGCCCATTCAGGGAACGGAAGTGTGCTCAGGATGCTTAGAACAGCAAGTGAGAAGGCAGGGTGTAGAGAGAGAAGGAGCTGGAGCTGGAGGCTGGAAACTCCACCATCTGAGGCTGAATGGAGGGGAAGAGACCCTCGTGGTAACAGGAAAATCCAGGGAGAAGAGAGCCATAAAACCCCAGTGTCTGACCTAGAAGTTGCATTTGGCTACTTGTCCCAGAGACTCAAAATAACTGTGATTCAAATAAGAAAGGGGCTTATTTTTTTGTAAATAAAAGAAGCTTAGATGGGCATGGGGGTTCTAGCATGCCTTCAGTGCCCCAGACTTCTGTCTCTGCTGTCCGTTCTTAGCACTCAGTTTCCAGGGTTGCTTATGGTTGAAAGACAGCTGATGAAGCACCACCTGTCACATCCGTGTTCCAGGTAGAAGGAGGGAGAAGGGGGAGCGAAGAAGGGAGAAGGGGCGGGCAGAAGAGTGTACCTCCTGGCTGGGTTACCCTCTTTAAAGAAAACCCCTTTCCTGGAAACCCCGTCTGATGACTTGCTTTCACTCGTCAGTCATCGGTAGTGGAAAGGTGTCTGGTAAATACGGTCTTTCACCTGGTGCATTGATGCTCCTAAGAACACTGGGGTCAGGAAGTCGGGAAGAATAAATATCGAATGGGCAACTAGAAGTTTGTTCCACACCGAGGGAGGAGAGAGTTTTAGGGGTTTTAGTGAAGCGGGGATGTGAAAGCGAGATTTAAGTGGATTGAGATGAATGTGAAGTAGTCGAATGAAGACGAGCACGTATTGCTCTTTTCTAGAAACTTAGATAAAAAGCGAAAGTGAGAAATCATGATAATTGGAGGAGGTTGTGAGTTTTTGTCTTGTTTTTTACTTGTTTGTCTTGTTTGGTTGTCAGATGAGAAAGACTTGAGTGCAGTGCATGTGACGTGCTGAGGAGCAGGAGCCTGTAGGCACAGGCGAGGTCAGAGGCAGAGAGCGGGCCCAGGGGGCAGGCAAGGGGCTCATCTTCAGCCAGTGGGTAGGGGTTGCAGCAAGGAAGCGGAAGGTACTGACAGGCACAGTCCAGGACGAGAGTCACAGGGCCCAAGCTACTCACTGATGAAGGGGAAGGCGAGAGAGAGCTGCAGTGAGGCGTGAGTGGGGGCCTCGAGGTCCCCCTTCATTTACAGACAGACTAATGGGAAGAAGGACAGAGAGAAGCGGGAATGATAACAGGTGTTCTCGCAGGGTAAGACAGTGGGGTGTTTAAAGTGGGGTCAGGTTGAGTGGCCGACCGAATGAATGAATGGAATGGAATGGAAAGGATGGTCAGTGTCGTTGAGAAAGTCCAGTTACTGTGAACGTTTTATATATGGTTGTGATTTAAAATTTCAGGTGTGGGTCAGTCAGAGTTTGCTGTTGCTGATATGGTTGACATGTTTGTTTTACTACTGCCACCAGCAGGAGGGGATGAATTGCAGGTAACTCTTTTGACTTTTTCCTCCCCAAAACACAAAGTATACACCTCTGAAAGTACAAGTTTCAAATGTTTTGTTTTTGTAAATTAAGTTGCTATTAGCATAGGGAAAGAACAGCAGCATCCATATCGGCTAAAATACTTGTCAAAGGCAGATTCTGTATATTTTCCTCAATTTACAGTAGTAGAATTTATGACCTTGAGCTAATGATACAACTTAGATTTTTCCACGTGGAACATGCAAGTGGTGGACCACATGGGCAGGCAGCTCCAGCAGGAGGGGGCACTGCCACATGGACACTTATAGTACAGTTGGTTCCAAAGTTCCTCGTAAGATGCCACTTGATTTTTCCTTGGGATCCCACTGTCATGGTTTATGTATTGTAAATAGGACTCTTGCTCCGCTCCTGCAGTGCGAGCCTGGCATCGGCTACCTGGAGTTACAGCCTTCCCAGCGGAGGGCACTCTGCTCCACAAGACTGTCCTCACTCTAGACACCAGCAGCAGGCTCGGGGGGTTCCCAGGCCACCCATGGCTCTGACCAGCTGGCCACAAATGTGGGAGTTCCCACAGGTTTCAGAATGAACTAGAATGACTCACAGAGCTCAGGAAAGCACTGTGTTACAGTTCTATGCTGCAAATCAGGAGCAGCCCAATAAAGAGACACATAGGGAAAGGCCTGGACAGGTCCCAGACTTGAAGCTTCTCTGTCCTCAGGACACATCCCCCTCCTGGCACATCGATGTGTATCACCTACCAGGGATTCACCTGAGCATCAGTGTCTGGAGTTCTTATACAGACAGGATTCACTGATCACTGTCCACATGACTGAACCCAGTCCTCACCCCCATCCCACCCCAGCCTTCCCCAGAGGCCAGGCTCAAGGGTCCCACCCTCCAATCACATGGTTGGTCTTTCTGGTGTGGTCAGCACCCATTCTGAACTCAGTTATAGTCCAGGCACCCTTGGTGAATAACAAAGACACTCCTGTGTCACTCGGGAAATTCCAAGGATTTAGAGGTTACTTCCCAGGAACCTTGGACAGAGAACAGACAAATTCTTTATTATACAATACCTCCCTTCCAATTGTATAATTCTAAAAAGAATAGTGACAGAAGACTATGGATGGTACAATTTAGAATCATGATCTGTTAGAATTTAATTATTGAAAATTATGTTTAAAAATATTTGAAAATAAATCTTAATCTCAGATGGAAAAATCTACATTTTCCAAATAAGGTTCGGCCTCAGGATTTCTAGTGTTCATATGCATCCTAATTTAAATCAAGGTTGAGGCAGTTTTAAATTAAAAAAAAGTTTTAATTGATTTTAGAGAGAGAGGAATGGAGAGGGAGAGAGAGAGAGAAACATCGATGAGATATCCTATACACCCCCAACTGGGGATTTGGCCCACAACCTGGGCATGTTCCTGACCTGGAATTGAACAGGTGACCTTTTGGTGCATGGGTCGACGCTCAACCACAGAGCCACACCGGCCGGGCAAGATTGAGGCATTTTTTAGCCTTCAGGTTATTTTTCCTCAACAGCAAATTAGAAAAAAAATAAAATTGCTGTATACCTTTAAGGAACTCTTCAAAGACTTTGTTTCTGGAAATGCAGTTATGGTGATAGGTGTTTCTGTTCAAGTGCCTCAGTGATGGGTGGTTTTGCATCTTGTGTTGTTAGCTCACGAGAAGCAGAATCCGTCATGAGACATGTGACTGTCTCCTGCCACTCAGTCATGTGTCTTGATGCTATATTTACTCTTAATTCTGAATGTACTTCAGCACTTAAGGCTCTAAATTTAGAAGACATGCTACAGATGACTTTCATATCCCAAGAGGCAATGCTTTTGAGTAATTTCTGTCGAGTAATTGTGTGTGATTTCTGGTACCCAGGGCTTGGGAAGATGCAGAGAAAACAGTATTTAATGAAGTGCAAGACTTTCAAAACCTTAGAGTTCACTGTTGTCCCATTTGTTTGCTGCAATTAAATTGTTTCTGAAAAGTCACTTTCTTCTCTTTTTCTCTTTAGGGTATCAAAAGAGGTATAATTGAGATGGCAGACCTGGTAGCGATAACTAAGTCCGACGGAGACCTGGTCGTGCCAGCTCGGAGGATACAGGCAGAGTATGTGAGTGCCCTGAAATTGCTCCGCAGGCGCTCGGAAGTCTGGAGGCCCCAGGTGCGCATGCGCCCCATTCCGCCCCATTCCGCCCCATTCCACAGTTTCACCCTGAGCGCGCTGGGCATGTCAGGATGGCAGCCCCAAGCTAGACATATAATCAATCTGTGCTTGTATGTGAGATTACAATGTGAAACATTATGACAAAGCCAGAGTATGTAGTCAGGATTTTAAATACAACCCTTCAGCCGCTAGATGCCAAAAACTAGATGTGAGGTGATAGATGAGATTGCTTAATGTTTGAGTGGAGCCATTTGGAGGTGATAGCAGATCCATTCCGAAAGGAACCGTCCTTAAGATTATGGAGCAATTAATGGTTTGATTATCTATAATAAAGTTTGCGTATGAGAGAAAAGTGATAGCTTCTCATTGCTTGTTGGATGCTGGTTTGTTTTCAGTAAGGGAAAAGAAAAAGAATCCTGTGATAAGTAATGCAGTGATACTGATGTGGGCGGCTTTATCCGTAGAGCACTGTTACTAAAGACTCTGCTGGCCCTGGCCAGGTGGCTCAGTTGGTTGGAGCGTCATCCCATATAACAAAAGGTCGCAGGTTCGACCCCTGGCTAGAGCATGTATAAGAGGCAACTGGCAACCAGTCGATGTTTCTCTCTCCCCCTAAAAAATCAATGAAAACATTTCCTCAGGTGAGGATTAAAAAAAAATGACTAAGCTGTGATCGCTGTAATGAGAACAGTGATGGCATAGCTCACCTGTAGCTCCCGGGCTCCCCGGCACGTGTGCGTCGGGTCTGAAGCAGCCTTGCACAGGCAGGTGCAGATGTTCTCTCCGCACTCGCCCAATCAGGCAACTCGGACAGTTTCTCAACTTAGCTTCATTTCCTGGCGCTCAGGCCTCGGGAAACCTGCCTGCAAGGCCCTTCTCCTCCTCGTGACCCTCTCGCAGTTCCTCCAGGGTGCCTCTCAAGGCCTCTGACCAGGCCTAAAGCCACATACATCTCTGGGCTAAAAATCTCGACCTGGAATCAGTAATTCCTTTCTGCCGTGTACTTAGGAATCCTAGTGAGGTACCTCAGTGTATTTCCCAGTATATTAACTTTGACACAGCAATAAAACGGCTCGTGTTTGCTGTTGCTAGCTCAGACTGTAAGAATGAATTGGCAAGTATCAGGGTCCCCATGAAAATGTTTTATTATTTTAAGTAACACAACTCTGGTTTTTCCCTTTTCAATAGGTAGTTCGTATTTCCTCCAGAAGTGGCGAGGGCATCACCGAGATGTGGGATAAAATGAGAGAGTTCCAGGACCTCATGCTGGCCAGCGGCGAGCTGACGGCCAAACGGCAGAAGCAGCAGAAAATCTGGATGTGGAATCTCATTCAGGAAAGTGTGTTGGAGCATTTCCGGACCCACCCCACCGTCCGGGGACAGATCCCTCTCCTGGAAAGAAAGGTTCTCAGTGGGGCCCTCTCCCCAGGACTAGCAGCAGACTTGTTGTTGAAAGCTTTTAAAGCCGAGACTAAAGAGCTATAGCCTGTACAATAATTTTACATGTCGTTTCATAAAGTATTTAAATATTAAAAGTTACTCGAATGCTTATATTTTCAGTAATTTTTTTGTGGTGGCTTTGGCCTCCTTATTTGTGAACCGGGCTTGAAAACTTGAAGAATATTAGATATGGATGGCCAAGGTCAGGCGGTCAGGCAGTATTTATAAGGTACCTGTTGTATGTTACTGATCTTTATTTTTTTCTGTTTCTATTCTTATCTCCTGGCACTGTGGCCTGTAGAGTAGTTTCTTCTCATCAGTCAGCAGCACAGAAAGTTGAGGACAATGAAAGATCGTGGACGTACCTTAAAATGCCTTCTTTGATCCTGTGTTCTCTGGGTTTCGAGAGAACATGTAAGCAAGGGTCACCGCCTGTCTGAGCCCAGATGATACACGGTGGCTTTCCCAGGGCTGCTCCAGGAGTTTCTGAACTGGCCACGCACATGAGTAACAGAACAGCTGGAAAGTCTAGTGATGTGAACATAACTTTCAAATTCCCTTATCTGTAAAATTAGGATTAAAAAAACTCCTTTACAGGGTTGTTGGAATAACTATATGAAATTGTAAAATGCTTAGCTCTCAATAATTGGTAGGTGTTGTTAGAAATATGGCACACAGGCACTCATGACTGGCATTTAATTTAATTTTTTTATTTTTTAAAATACATGGTTTTTTTTTAGGGAGAAAGAGAAATAGAAACATCGATGTGAGAGAGAAACATCTATCAGCTGCCTCCTGCACGCCCCCCACTGGGGATCAGGCCTGCAACCTGGACACGTGCCTGACCAGGAATTGAACAGGGACCTCTCAGTCCATGGGACAATCCTCAGTCCACTGAGCCACAACGGCAAGGCTGACACCATTTAATTTTAGTTTGGGCATACTATCTAATCTCTTTGTGGCTCACTTTCCTCTTTGGGGATGACAGTAGTGTCCACCCAGGTTGTTGAAAGGACTGTTTTATTTGGCATACCTACAGTGCCTGGACATAGTAAGTGCTAAATAAATATTTACCAGTAGTCGCTACCTCTCAGGGTGGTTGTGAGGATTAAATGAATTAGTCTCCCCCTACCTTAGAAGGATAATTCTTTTCTGAAAAAACCTCATAGATTGACTTGGCCTTTGTCAAAAGCATAATTACCATTAATTTATGTAGGTACAAATGTGCTATGTTCCAAACTGAACTCCAAAATTGCCAGGCATTTTGCTGAAACAATACCAAACTTCATTAAAATAACTATCATTACTTGTACAGTTACAGCTACAGGTAACATTAGCTGTCAGGATACATACAACCTGGCAAGGAATTTTCTCTTCCTAATCACTCTATAACATAGCTCCCTAACCTCCTCCCCCAAACTCGTGTAGCTATTGCCCAGTGTACCCTGAAGACAAAAGCTGGTGAACTCACAGTGGCTGGCACCAGTGTTGGTGAGCCTTGTCATTCAAGGAAGACTAAGACAATGATGAACAACCGAAATTTTTTTTAAAAAGAACAATCTGAAAGAAATTTTAGCCTATTTTTTTGCTCTCACTATAGTACTTTGGTTAATTGGTTACTAAATTTATGAACTTCTTTAACCCATTTGACATAAATACTTGGTGATAATTCCTGTCCCATGAGGTTTATATAAGTGTATGTTTTTGTCATTAGTGGTATGTTTGACAAAATATTAGGGTGGCACAAAAGCAGTTCCAAAATATTGAGGTTTTTTTTAAGAAAAAAATTAACTTTGTACTGTAAAGTGTAGATGATGCTAGTGTGAGTCAGAGTACATTAATATTTACCTGGAAATTTGATGCATATGGTAATCTTGGGGCATTTCATTTTGCTTAGTGACCTCGGCTTCTTGATGGAATGAGGTGCAGGCACATGTACGAGAGTAAACTGTTCTACTCTTAGCAAGTCTAAACACTCAATCTTAGATGTTGCTTTTAACTAACACAGAGGACATCATGTGACCTCATTCTCAGAGCGCTGGCCAATCTTAGAATTCTCTTAGATTTCTCTTATGACACAACTATTTATTAGGTTCATACTTAGGTACCAAATCTTGTTACGTGTGGAACCCAACTATTTCAAGAATCATCCACAACACTCTCTTCTTATGGATAAAATCCCATTAGCTTTTATACCCACATTTTGCCGCCCGGAATTCCATCACATCATGCAGGATCTCAGTCCCCTGAAAAATCCTCTCCCCAAGCAGTTTTGGAAGTTCCAGAGGCTCCTCGCTGATTCACAGACCAGCTCACACTCTTGGGTGCAGCTTTGCCCTGCCAGGTTGTGCCGCCTCCGCTGACGTAGCTGCTGCTGCTCCTGCGGAGAGCGTGCCCTGCTGAGGTGTGCCCGCACTGTGGTCTGCAGGTGTCCGAGGGCTGCTGTGTTCCCAGACACGGGATCCTTGCTCTCGTAGGGACTAGTCCATTGGGCTGGGGTAGAACCAACTACCATACCATCTCTCATCATGCTTAGCTCTCCGGTCTCTTCCCCCAGGACCTCAACACACCGTCTCTGCAGAAAACTACCCCTCTCCCCCGAAGCTCCCCTTTCAGAATGCCTATCAGCTCCTGCAAACGATGCCCAGGTAGTTAGCATTCCCTCTTTTTTTGGCACATCAACTGTAGGTTGAGCCATGTTCTCCCAGCTTCACATAGGTGGGTGGGCAAAAGTAGGCTTACAGGTGTAATACACGTAAATAATATAATAATTAATAAACAATAATACAAGAATAAACTCTGTTTCACATACTCACAACTGTAAGCCTACTTGTGCCCTGTATATTCACTGCTAATTGTTAACACCCTCCGGAGAGGCATCACTTCCCTTTACAGAAGGAGAAATTGAGCAAAAGGAATATTGAGAAATTTATCTAAATTCACACACAAGTCACGAGGGCTTTTCTAGCTCCAATTTTGTCTCATTTTACTGTTCTAGTTCCCACTTTAACACTTCATAGTTTCTTGGTCCCCAGTTCCAAATTCCCACAGAAATAGGATTGGCCCGCTCATCCTTTGGGGGCAGTGGCTCTCACTGAGGGACATCTGTAGGTGGGTGGCCTACCTCGATCTGCGTTTCGGGGGTATAGTATGAAGTATAAATCTGGTTCCTTATTCAGCAGGAACAGTTTGTAAGGCACTGTGTTTTTTGGGTTATGGGTGGGGCAGGCAGTGATGTATACGTGCTCCACAGAACAAATTATTGGGTAGATAAAATGGGTTCCAGAGGGTGGGGTGATTTGCTTAAGCAGCCAGGATGACTCGGACTCAAACCTACCCCTCCTGACTGCTCAGTGATCTCTCTATTACATAGGTTAGAAACCAGCTCTTAAGAAAAATGTGTTGCCTGTTGACCATAATCTTTTCGATCATTCCTGCTATTCCTTAGAAGGTTACCAGTCTGTTTAATTCTAGAAATGTCATTGTTTACTAGAGATCTGCTGCCCACACTGCCTCTTTATTTGGGATAAGAACTTGAGAAGGCACACCACCATAATGTTTGCTGGTCCCAGAAACTTGCTTCCCGCCAGCTCCAGTGACTTGGGCTCTTGGAATGCTAGATGGCACAGACCTTCTCCACTCTGGACTGCAGAGCACCATCATTGTTATGGGTTGAATCAGGTCCACCTCAAAGACATTCAAGTCCTAATCCCCAGGATCTCAGAATGTGATCTTATTTGGCAGTAAGATTGTTGGAGATATGGTTAGCTAGGATGAGGTCATGCTGGAGTTGGGTGGGCCCTGCTCCAACGTGACTGATGCCCTTATAAGAAGACAGTTATGAAGACACAGACCCAGGGAGACCCTGGGATGGCGAAGACAGACTGGAGTGACGCCGCCGCCAGCCCGGGAATGCCAGCGGGCACCACCGGACTCTGGGAAGAGGGGAGGACCCTGCGTTCCACAGGGAGCACGGGCCCTGCCAACACCTTGATTTCAGGCAGCTGGACTCCAGAGCGGCGACACAGCACATGTCTGTTGCTTTAAGCCACCCAGTTTGTGGTACTTGGTTGCAGCAGCCCTAGGAAACCAGTGTCAACCCCCTGAGCCTAACTCAAAGAGGGAAATTCTACAAAGATTTTATTACGCTCCTCCCCACCTCAAATAAAAATAAATTTTTTGACCTCCCAATTCTGCCTTTCCCTCAGGGCCTTGAAAACCCATGAAACAAAAGGGACACAAGAGGTTCCTTATGTTTCTTTTGACAAGTACCTTGCTTCTGTTGATACTCCACACTTCGGTATTGGGCTTTGACTGTCCCAAAGGACCTGCGTTGCACACGTCTGGGAGGTTGGGTTTCTTAGGAGGGACTCAGGAAATTACAAAGACATTCTTAGGCAATTAGCCATGAGCAGCAGAGAAGCCGTCCTGAAATGTGTGGCCACTGCAGGCTTTTCTACCTTGAGAGAATGTCTGATGCACCAGAGAGTGAAAGAAGGGGTAGCGTGTATAAAACATCACTGCCCTTTTAAAACTCAGGCTGATTCACTCAACTTGGTAACGTGTACTAGCTTCTTCAGCATCAAGCCCTGTCACATGGTATTTGTAGTAGGATTTTGTATCTCAAAACAGCAACAAAAGATACTTCACTGTACGTGGTATGACTACTTTGCAATTTTTGGAAAATGTACCCAATTAGATTTGTATTCTGTGTATGCTGCCTTTTTACACACGTCCCTACTTAAAAAGCTCTTGATTGGTGAATGAATCCGAATGAGGGTGGCAGGAAAAATTCCATAGGAATAACATATATGATTGTATTTGTTGGGAGTAGACCAATTTGGCCCAGAATAATAAATGGTGTTGTTCAGTGACCCAGAGTAGATGCACAACAAATATTTAGGGATGAATGGATGAAGGAACAAATTCTGAGCAAAGCTTACACACAGCCACAGAGACAAAGCTGCATCCTGACCAATCGCTAACAAAGAATGGCAAATCCAAGGGCTGAAGTATATGAAACTAATCTAGTCCTCCAGAGTACCCTAAAATTGCATCTGTCAGGATACCCACATTTCTGTAGGACAAAACACTGTGTATCCCTCTAAGCTGAAAGCATCCCTCGTTGTTACCCCAGAAACAGACCCATAAACACTTGTGCAGGTTGTAA